GGGAGAGGGAGAAGCAGGCTCCCCGCAGAGCAGGGAGCCCGATGCGGGACTCGATCCCAGGACCCTGGGATCATGACCTGAGCTGAAGGCAGTCGCTCAACCAACTGAGCCACCCAGGCGCCCTATAGATGATTTTCATGTGCTTTATTTTTCAGTTTTAGAAAATGAATACACATTAAATTTTTAATTCAGAAAAAAGTGGAGATTTGTAGCATCATCTAGATCTTCTCATAATTTCTGAACCAAGCTTTAGTCCGCCTGTTCCACTGAAAGCAAACATTTCTTGAGAACAAAAAAAGTGAATCACTAGGTAAATATTGATCTGTTGCTAAGTGAACAAGAGAAACATCACCCCATTGTAAGCAAAGTTTTCCTCCAGACATTAAAAGATGCATTTCTAATGTATCTTTGGATAGATAGATTATCATAAAACAGATTCAAAAACTAACTTTAATGCAGAAAGGGAGGAAGAAAAAACTTTATTCTCATAACATGTTTTCAATCTTCACCTTTCATCGGCTTTTTTTTCTATACCAGAACAGCAGGGGGATATGCTCTGATTCCACACATAAGTCATAATAACCGGCTGCCTTCAGTCAGGGTTATTGAGTAACACCATTAGCTTGAGGTAAATCAGTTAACTGAACTTTCTAGGCCAGAAAATTGTTTGTGAAGGCTGCAGACAGGCTTCCTCTAGGAAAAAAAATCTTCAAAGTCTCAGGAGAAGCACTTTTACCCATAACAGACATGTTTCCTGCCCTCAGCTTCAGATATATGGGAGGCTGTTTCAGAAATGTGACACAGAGAAAGAACATCAAGGACAGTGGCTTCCGACAGAGTGATTAAAATAGAAAGAGGGTCACGTGGGAATTAGAAGGCCACTCTGGGGCCAGTCCTGCTAAAGACTCTCATCTCGGGCTGACCCCTTACTGCTCTCTGCTCACTTCTCTGTACCCTGAGAAGTCAGTCCACCTCCCCATGGATAAGAGGGGGACCAATGGTTTTAGTCATCCTCTCTGCTCCTGGGAAGTTTCCTCAAAATGAGAGGAAAAATCAGTCCAACCTCAAAAGTCATTAAGAAGATTAAATGCATAATATCTACGAGAGATACGAAACAAATTTAAAATGCAGGAACAAGGACAAAAGAGAGTAACGTGAAAATACTCTGCTGAGAAGCTACATGAGTGGAGGATATAGTTATTCCTAATATTAGAACCTAAATAAAAAATAAAAGGTTAGTTGGGGCATCTGGGTGGCTCAGTTGGTTGAACAGCCAACTCTTGATCTCAGCTCAGGTCTTGAGCTCAGGGTCGTGAGTTTGAGCCCCGTGTTGGGCTCCAGCGTGGAGGCTACTTAAATAAATAAATAAAATAAGAGGTTAGTTAAAAGATGGAGGGGAAAAAGTGAATCCTTTTGTCCTTTGATCATTTGTCATGTTCAAGTAAGAGAGCTTGGATGTTTAGAATTTAGCTGTTTAAGTAATGTTCCAACATGCTCAGAGGAGGCTGGTCCTCTTCTCAAAGGGATAGGTCTTGGAAGGGAACAGTTTCTAGGCAACTTGTCCCTTTGCACCTACCCTCAAACCATAGCTAAGTAACTAAGGCTGATCTCTACCCTTCCCTAATTTGGGTTTCACCAGGAGGGAGCAGGTGACTGGTTAACGACAGGGGTGGTGCAGTGGTGGACACCGCCACGAGGTTCAAGGAGATCTGTGGCCAGGGACACACTTCCACACCAGGAGAGTGGGTGCGGCCATCTCAAGAGAGTCACGTGGCGCCATACCAGCATCTTAGGCTCAGGGAGAGAGTGTGCCAGGGAGGAAAAAGAGCAAAGAGAACTGTTGGATTTAACGTTTCTGGGTTGTTTTTTAAAAGGAAAACATGAAAAGAGGTAAAAACCTGCCATAATCAACTTTTTTTTTTTTTTTTTTACTTTGAACAATTAGTATGGGATCAACCATCCATGATGTTTTTCCTGAGCCCGGACATTAGCGGCTTTTCCGTGACTTCCCCTAGCTACTCAGGAACCCATGCTGGGTAGAACTTTGCACTCATCTACGTTATTAACTTACATATTGACCCAATACTTTCACTTTTTTCTTTAAAAATGAGATAGCCCAGGAACTTGGGTCTAGCTGGGTCCCACTCAATATGAGAATAGGTGCAAATGTCACTTGCCAGTCAGGACTAGTGCAATTCTCTAAATGAAGTAATGAAGAAAAATGCCAGCCGAAGTGGAAAGCACACAGATTCTGTGCACCCTATTAGATGAGGAGCATTTTCAGTGCATACCCTGCTGAATAAGAACGCCTGGTCTAATGCCTGGTTGTGGGGCTACTCTATCCACACGGTGATATAAAGCGCCGCCCCCAGGAGGGGCAGTTCCAAAGTCAACATGATGACACTTATCCCGTACGCAGCACTCCCCACAAGTATCAGGCAACGTGACTGACTTATGAGTCACTCTCGACTTCACAGTAACTTCTGGGTCCTGATATCACTCTTAAAAGTAAGAAAACTCCACACAACACCCTAAACACCCAAAGCCCATGATGGCAGCTCTTTGGCCTTGGCTAAGAGCACGTAAAAATCAACTAGACAATCGCACAAGACAAAGCAAGAACCCAACCTCTCAGATGCATCTGCTGCCCACTTGTCCAGTCTGAGAAGAGAACCATTTACCCAATGTCACCAACCCCCTAGAGGGGATGAAAAGTTATATCAGGAGAGGGGGAACGCCCCTATTACTGTCCACTGAGTATGAGAAACTCCACTGAGTTTAGTCCTCATGCTGAGCGGACACCGTTTAGTAAGACAGTTCTAGAAGCAGCTGCCATCTTAAGGCATGCCTGGCAGAACGGCATCTGCCGTTCAGAACGGCGTTTGAAGAGGCACAAACAGTGCAGGAGCCATAATCAGCAAGGTGGAAGGAATTCAGACCCAGGAGAGCAGGGAATGCTTCATGCCCCAGGCTTGGCCTGAGCCCTGAGGGAAGACAGATTTACTCGGAGGACATCAACAGGGACACAGTGTGTGGAGATTCTCTGCACACTGCACCGGCCAAACGGACCAGCGGGTGGGCATACGGTGGGTGTGGGGTCTACTCACTCTTTGGTCAGAAGAGGACAGGACTTGAGCAGAAAGCGCGAGAGCCCCGAGTCCTGGAAGTAGAGGTCAGGCGGCGCTGTGGGGCTCTTCAGATTCAAACAGCGGACGATCACGTACAACACGGCAGCCACGGCAGCCAGCTTTACCCCGTCAAACACGGCCGGGAGCTCGGGGGTCTCTAGCATGGCATTCATCTTGATCTGGGGAGCAGAAGCACACAGCTAGGGTTAGAAGCACAGTGAGGAGGGGCGGAGCCCACCACACTAAGAGGCAAAGCCGATGACAAGTCACAATCTGGGTATGTTCATAGGGCCACCTAGGGCGATGGCCATCAGCGTCTTCAGGCCACCAGTGGCCTGGCAACAACCCAAATCACAAACAGGCTTGTGCACTGATAAACTGGGTAAGGTTTTGTTTTGTTTTAGATCGAATGAGCTCTTCTAAGAGAAGCAAATTAGAAAATGTTGAGAATAGCATCCTTTGGGGAGCGGGAGAAAGAAGTCCCGCCAGAGGCTCAAGCTGGACTAGAGGTGGCCCACTGATTGCCGTGGGCTGGCAGCCTTGAGTGGTTCTGCACCAGGTGTTTGTGAAGCACCATGTTTACAGCCCGGGACAGAAATGTGGGAGGGACCGCTACTGTCCACAGCTGTGACGGTACTGCTCACCGACCCCCCCGGGCCCCCCACTGCCAGAGGAGGAGGAAACAAAGCAAGCTGGGTCTGACTCGGCCATCTGCTCCTGGTTTGGCGGGGGGAGGGGGCAGCCCCGGTGCTGGAGTCAAGTTCAGACTCGGCCCCGGAGCGGGGCAGCGATCCTTGAGCCTGGGTTTCAGGCAGTGTGAAATGGAACCGGGCAATTTCTTTCCCCACTGAAGGTATCTGACAATAACCATTAGTCCAAAATCCAGACCAAAATTAAAAATTGGGAGTGCAGAAAACGTGTATGCAGGTCTGGCTTTGCCCGGAGCTCTCCTGATATTTTGTTTTGAGGTGGCTTTACCTTATAAACAACACACACACACACACACACACACACCTTCCAAACATCAACAACAACAAAAGTAACAGCAACAAAAATCCAGTTTTTTCCTTGCTGCTCAGGAGAAAAGCAGAACATTAGGTGTTACCTTAAAAATCAGGAAAACCACGAGCTTAACGAAAAGGAGAAAATGTTAACTCACAGCCAAGGTAGCTATGGCAACAGCTTCTCTGGAATGGTGTCAAGTAGCCTCTGCTAAAAACAGTCAGCATGAGAACTCTGGTGGCCCACAATGCAGCCAGAATGGGCAAGACAAAACAACCTCCCGAAAACGTGTGCGGGGCATGACCGAATGAACTCTCTACAGATCTGCAGTGAGGCCAAAGGGGTCCGAGAAACCCTTCCCTGAGGTCAAGGTGACGTTGGCAAATACAGGACTGAACACACTGCCGATGACCTCTGGCAGAGGTCCCAATTCAGTGAGGAAAGGCAATGAAAGATCAGGGCTCAACTAGCCTTCCACCATGGGGGCAAGAAAATAATTTTAAAAATGGATCCTACATGATTTTGACTCAAAATACACTTTCAACTGTATCAACCTTTGAACCTTTATGATCTGAAAGTTGCCTTAAAACCTAACTTCTGGAGAAGTGTCACCTTGCTCCTGGGGCCACGTCCCCAAAAGGCTGGCTATTTATAAACCCTTCAAACAGGATTCTTCACTTGGGGTCTGTGGGTTCCCTACAGGATTCCAGGGTCCAGGAACCCCCTGCAATTAGATGTAAAGGTTTGTGTGTATGTGGTTTTCTGTGGCAAGGATCTGCAGATTTCAAGATTTATTTATTTGAGAGAGAGAGCGCATGAGAGCATGTGCTCTGGGGAGGGGCAGAGGAAGAGAGAGAATCTCAAGCAGACTCCTCGCTGAGCACAGAGCCCGACGCGGGGCTCGATCTCACGACCCTGAGATCGACGATCTGCAGATTTGATCAGGTTCTCCAAGGGGCGTGTGGCCTAAAAACGTACACAGCTCCCAAAGTGCTCCACAGGTTTCCCCTGCAGCTCTGGTCCCCCACCTCTCGGGTGCCCTGCCACCTAAGCCAGTCAAACCGGCAGCAGACAAACACCCAGGACGCTGCTGTTCATTAATATGATTTTTCAAGGCCCCAAACAAGGTCCAGCAGGAGTTCCAAAGTCTCTCTGACACGAAGCTGGTAACACGCTCTTTCCCGTCCCCTTTGTTGGAAAGACAACCGAGAAATGCAGCAGGTGGTTTTACAGGTTTCCTTGTTGGTCAAGAATTGAAATTTTATGGAATTAAAAGATGAAGTCCCTCCCGCCATCCCCACTTCCTCTCATTACTTCCTAACATAAGGGGAAGTGAAGAGGAGAAACAAACAAAAAAAAGTCTGGGCCATACATACCTATGTCCCTTCTTCCTCTCTACTGCAAATATTGACTGTCCTTGAAGAGTTGTACAGCTGGGCCACTCGGGTCAGATCTCCTATTCAAATTAACCTAAAAGCTGAAAAGATTGGATGGTCACGTTCCATTGGATGAGAAAGAAGCAATTTAATTAAACTAACAGTACGGTCTAAGTCGCTCTTCATTTCAAGTCTTTGGGGAGAGAGACCATTTCTTTCGTTAATATGAGTGCCACACTCTTGGCCGCTTGGCCATCTGAACAAACCTGCTGGGGGACGTCTTTGTGGAGCCACAAACTGACAGGCTCTTTGGTTTCCAGGGCAAGTTATCTGCTGCCTTCAGAACTCTGGCTAAAGCAAACCCATACGGCTTTCACGCTTTATCTTAGAAAGTCATCTTCACCAACGTCTGAGTGTTATCATCTGGGCGACCGAGGAGATCACTTATTAGCAAGGCCTGAGGTCAAGACAGCAGTGGGTTGATGCATCCCTTGTCTCCCAAACACCGAGCAGTGACAGATGAAATGTGAGCTGAGAGAGAGAAGCCTGTGAGCATGGATGGGCTTGGAAGCCCAGCACTGGGAGCAGAAGAATGCTGAAGGCACGGAGTGGGAAGTCACACCGCCTGCCAGGGGTCTGGGTCAGGGCTGGGGGTGCCAGGAGCTAAAAGTGCTCTCTGTGAGTGGGGACCCAGAGCCGGGCCCACTGTGCTGTAAATGCATGGCTTCCAAAGCAGAAAACAGAAAGGGGTGGGGGGTGGAGGGGACAGCTGGTATTTATATAGCGCTACCTATGTGCACCAAGCCCTGTCTGTGCTACTTTACCTCTGCCATCCTTACTGCACCCTGTGGAGTCGGTACTGGTCTTATCCCCATTTCACAGACGAGGAAACTGAGGCATAGGAAATTTGAGTGACTTGCCCAAGGCCACCCAGCTAGTAGGTAGAGAAACCAGGATTCCTATCTGGCTCCGGAAGCCCTCCTCTTCACCACCACGCTGTGCTATTTGTAAGGAGGGAAAGTAAAGAGAGAGAGAGAGAGAGACAAAAGCAGGCAAGAAAGAAAACCGAAGGGACAGAAGAGACAGAGGAGACACCAGCGGCTTGCCCAAAGTCACACAGCGGTGAGAGCGGAGCTGGGATCCGAGCCCAGGGTTCTCTGATTCCATCACATCAAAATGACTTCAAAAGGAAATGAAAGCCACTTGAAGGGGAGACTCAATTAACCTTCAGAGGAGCCTTGCTCAACCTCAAATTTTTATTATTTCTTCATATTCTGAGACAAATTAGCCACAAAGGACCAGGCTTTGTTGAGGTGAGGAACAAAGAGCAAAGTCTCCAGCCACATCACAAGGCACTTGACCTTTCCCGGGCTCGGCTGCCAACTGGAAAACAAGGATGGAACAGACCAAAGATCCTAAATCAGCAGCCCATGGGATTGCATTGTGTTTGACTAGCATTTTAAAAAATTAAGTTCATTAGCCACCAAGTTATAAACACCAGGGGATTTCAGATAAAAATCTGAATTTCGGGTTTCTCTTGGAAAAAAAAAAAATAGAAGATTTGGCAACACTGAGCTTGTGTTCTCACTTGAGAACAAGATATGGAGCTGAAAGGCAGCTGCCCCCTCCAGACAGGGCCTGCGATCTCCGTGCTGCCACAGTCCGCACCACTCCCTATCGTGGCCCCCAACACTGGACCCCCCCCCGCCCCCCGCTTAATCATTCATGGTGCTAGAGTGCTTCCTGTGGCCATCCGAATACGGGACCCTTGGAGAAACCTGTGTTAAGATCCCTCTGGCTCTCGATAAGTCTGTGCTGACTGAATATTCAAAACACACTAATCAGTATATGTATAAATAATAAATTCACAGAAAAAATTATAGAAAGACAGAGTGGTACATAAGATGTGATGTGTTTTGTTGTTATTCACACGGATGTTTATCTATCTTGACTTTCTCCACAAACTATCTGAGGAGGTTTCAAAATGCTGACTGGAAATGCATGTAGAACAACCCAGAAATGTGGCAGACGGCTGACTGCTTCCCAAAAGTCTCTCCTTCTCCCTAGTAACAGAGACCTGTAAAATGAGCCTGCCTCACTGGAAAAAACTGTAGATCCCAGCTGCCCTTGCAGGTAGGTGAGTCCATGTGACTAAATTCTAACCAGTTCTGAAGGTGCTGGTCTGATTTCTCTGAAGCCTCCTTAAAAAGCAGGAGGTTAACTCTTCTTCCATCCTTTTCCCTTCATGTATCCCAGGAATGCAGACGATGTGACTGCAACCCCAGCAGCCATCTTGGGCCATGAAGTGACCTTAAGGTTGCTCTAGGAGCCACGTTAAGAGGATGGCAGAGTAGAAAGACAGAAGCCTGGGGTCCCTGATGATTTCATGGGGCCACCATGTCAGACCTAGACTGCCTACCTCCGGGTTTCTTTTATGGGAGAGAATAATCCCTCGCATGTTTAAGCCATTGTTACTTCTAGACTTTTCTAGTCTGCAATTTTTTAAAAAGATATTATTTATTTATTTATTTGAGAGAGAGAGAGCGTGCAAGTGGGGAGAGGAGCAGAGGAAGAGGGACAAGCAGACTCTGCGCTGAGTGTGGAGCCCAGTGTGGGGCTTGACCCCCAGATCACAACCCAAACTGAAACCAAGAGATGGATGCTTAACTGACTGAGCCACCCAGGCGCCCCTAGTCTGCAATTTCTAAAAACACAGAAGGAAATGCTATATACTCAAATCTTTCTGGATGCTACAATCACTCGGTCATTAGAGTATAGGTAATTTTTCTTTTTTTCTCTTTTCCAAAATCCATAATAATAATATCGTTCTCAGAAAAAAGCCTTAAGATAGCAACTAATAAAATCTAAGAAGGGGGGTGCCTGGGTGGCTCAGTCGGTTAAGTGGCTGCCTTTGGCTCAGGTCATGATCCCAGGGTCCTGGGACTGAGCCCCGCATCAGGCTCCCTGCTCAGGGGGGAGCCTGCTACTCCCTCTGCATGCTGCTCCCCCTGCTTGTGCTCTCTCTCTCTGTCAAATAAAAAAATAAAATCTTAAAAAAAAAAATCTAAGAAGGTATTACGAACATCTAGACAAGAAAAACATCTCTGTCAACACACACAACAATTACGGATGTGAGTAAGCCTAGAACGGACCTGAACTTTCTGACTACAAGAGCAAAGAGGGGAAACCCAGTCAAACCCCTGGTTCTCCAAAGTGGAAAGAAAGGTACTGTGATTGTGCTCTTATCCCACAAAGCAAGACAGATAAGAAGGGGAAGCAGGGCTTTTCTGACACAGAATCACTAAGAAAACAAAAACAAAAACAAAAACCTCTGCGGGACTTTATATAAGGGGACCTTGAGCAACGTGATAGGCAATGTCCTCCTACAACGTTTTTTAACAGCAAATGCAGTAGAAAATTAATTTCCTCAACCCTCAAAAACACCAAGAGTTTTGAATGGAATTCGGTTCAGTGAAGGCAATCCTATGAGAGATTTGTACTTTTATGGTCCAAAGATGCACCCTTGATCCAAGGCTTGAACCAGAAGTCTCAAGAAGCAGGGCAGTTCTACCGCATGTCCCCAGGGCTACCTCCCTTGTGGCTCAAGGACCCGGCAACCTACCGTGTGCCTAGCACTACGCTAAACATTGCGTTGGACCACAATGAAGTAGAATTCTCATTTTACCTAGGGAGAAAAGAAGTTAACCTTTTTAAAAATTTTTATTTTAATTTCAGTATAGTTAACATACAGTGTAATATTACTTTCAGGTATACAATATAGTGATTCAACACTTCCATACAACACCTCGTGCTCCTCACGACAAGTGCCCTCCTTCATCCCCATCCCCTATTTCACCCATCCAGCTGCCCACCTCCCTGCTGGTCACCATCAGTGTGGTCTCTACAGTTAAGAGTCTGTTTCTTGGTTTGTCTCTCTCTTTTTTTTCTCCTTTGTTCATTTGTTTTGTTTCTTAAATTCCACATGAGCGAAGTCATATGGTATTTGTGTTTCTCTGACTGACCTTTCGCTTAGCATAATACTCTCTAGCTCCCTCCATGTTGTTGCAAGTGGCCAGAGTTCATTCTTTTTGATGGCTGAGTAATATTTCATTGTGTGTGTGTGTGCATATGTATACCACATGTTCTTTATCCATTCATCTACTGGTGGACATTTGGGCTGTTTCCGTATCTTGGCTATTGTAAATAATGCTGCAGTAAACAAAGGGGTGCATGTATCCCTTTGAATTAGTATTTTTGTATTTTGGGGGTAAATACTCAGTAGTGTGATTACTGGATCGTAGGGTAGTTCCATTTTTAACTTTTTGTGGAACCTCCATACTGTTTTCCATAGTGGCTCCACCAGTCTGCATTCCCACCAACAGTGCATGAGGGTTTGAAAAGAAGTTTATCTTAAGGCTCTATACTTCAGAAACTTGGGGACAAGAATATATTCGTCTAGGAAAAAATTAAGCAGGGAAAGACTCATGGAGCAGCTAGATCTACAACTGGGACTTGAGTATGGGATTTAGAAGAAGCATGTGTAAGTGTGAAAGAGAGTGTGTGCATGTGCACTTACAGTTTATATCAATTATATATAAATACATATTTAATACACATATTAAATCCATATATATATGTGTGTGTGTGCGTGTGCGTGTGCGTGCGTGTATAAAACCAGGCATTAATGAATTGGCAATTTCAGAACAAAACCCTTGACATCCATTTTAATTTATCTTGCAGCATTTGATTTTATGGGGTTCTCTCTTCCCAAGTTTGACCTGCCACAAAATATTAATATTCTGAACTTGTTCCAGACATAACAAAGTAAGCTGCCATTGTACTATTTTATATGCCCCCTCTCCCTTTTCTGGGCAGGCAAAAGCCGGTTAATAGGAACATCAGGCAGCCCAGGTGGGGAAAAGAAGGCACACAGAACAGCAGGGGGGCTGGGTGTGTGCAAGACAGAAAGGAAGCATTGCCCCACCCCCACCCCACCCCCACCTCCTCGAAAGGAAGAGCTAGGGCTGGGCTCACTGCGCACCAGAGAGCCACACCTCCCCTTCTCCCACCGGTCATTTTATGAGTGCATTTACTCATAAAATGCTGTAATTGATAGTTAAAATTCTGTCGGCTCTACATTAACGGGGCAACCTAAGGTGCAAAGGGCCACAAAATGCCCACCCGTGTAGGAACTTTCAGTAGTGCCTCAGTCTCTATCTAGGATGTGCTTGACTAGTCTTTCCACCAGCGCGAGGGCCCAGGCTTCTCACTGCTCTCCCATGGCTAAGGGTGTTATTTTGAGATGGACACACAGATGCAGGGAGAGATGGGGCCCCTGGGCTGGGAGAAGCTCCAGCCTTGGGGTTCTAAGACCTGGGTCCTAGCGTCCGCTCTGCTCCTTCCTAGCCAGTGACCTTGAATAAGTCACTTAACCCTAAGGACCTCAACCATAAAACGAGAGGATTAGGTTAGAAGCAGATGATGCCAAAGGTCTCCTCCGGCTTGAAATTTCTGAGATTCTAGGGATAGAATTGCAGTCCTTGGCTAAATAGCACAGGAAAATCTCTCTGTGCTCTGTAATAAGAGACAGCCCCCGCCTCCCAGCTTACTCTGTGGACCATTAACAACAAAACTCCCAAGAACGACACCCCTCATGATCTTTGTTCTTCCTTCAAGTAAGTTAAACAGTTATACATTTTCAGCCGTGCCATTTATGCCCATAATTCTGTCATATTCCTTCCACCTGCATGGGTGAGTGATGATTTCAGCCTCAGAATATTAATGTTCACTGACGATACAAAACTTACAGTGAAGAAAGAAAGAAAAAACCAAGCAGAGTCCTCAAACATGGAAAATTCATTACATGGTGTGTGGGATGCATAGTGTCCCCCGCCCCCCAAAATTCACGTCTGTCTGGGACCTGTGAATGTGACCTCCTTTGGAAATCAGTCCTTGGCAGATGTAATTAAGTTAAGACAGGGTCACACTGTTTAGAGTTGGCCCTAACCCCAGGACTGGTGTCCTTGTAAGGGCCGGGAAGTTTAGACACGGAGACACAGACACGCAGGGAAAACCTTTTAAAGGTGGAAGTGGAGACTGGGGCGGAGCATCACCGAGACAAGGAATGCCAAGCACTGCCAGCAACCAAGAGAAATTAGGAACAAAAGCCCGGAACAGACTGTCCCTCCGAGCCCTCGGGAAGGAACCCACTTGACGATACCTTGATTTCAGGCTTGCTCAGAACTGTGAGAGAGTATGCCCCAATTACCTCTCATGACTCAGTAATTTCCCACCTCTGTCCTTCCAGGCTGAAGAGACCCTCTGCCACGTCCTCTTGAAAGGTTCCTTGTTACCCAGACAAGCTCCAGCCAATTCAGACCCAAAGCAGCTAACTGACAATGAACACTCACAGGCTACTTATTAACACAATACAAATGGGATTTTGTGCACAAATATTTATTGGCTTGGCTTCTTTGCCTCTGTGATTCAGCTGTCAGACCACCCTTTTCCTCTCCTAGTACCAGTGACTTATGGAAACCCTGAGACAGAGACATCTGGGGAGGGAGTGTCTCCTTCCCTTGCAACCCAAGAGGACCTGACGAATAAGCTCCGGTACTTCTGTGGGTCCCACGGTAAATACCTCGTAAGGAAAACCAAACCGAACCGAACTCCTAAAGAATTTCTCTCTTCCTATTCCACTCTGGTGTGGATGGGGATTTCATTTAGGTCCAGGCCCTGCACTGAGTTGGCCCAGTATCAGATCCTGGCCCCACCAGTTAACGGAGCTTGTCCTTGGGCCTCATCCGAATGTGTTGATACAGAGATGGGATTTTATAACACTCCTCAGATACAGTAAGTGCCCCCAAATATTAGCTGTACCATCACCACTACTAAGATCTCCTCCAGTTTTCCTTAGTAAACTCCCCCATCTGGCAGAAGTTACCCCAAAAGATATTCTTTCCTACCTGACACAGAGGTACTGTGAGGGGTTACTGCACCAAAAAATAACTGGCTGGCTGACTGGGTGGGCCTCCTCTAACAAGTCTGCAATTACCCCCAGGACACACTCTTCTTTTTTTTCTTTTTAAAGATTTTATTTATTTATTTGAGACAGAATGAGAGAGAGAGAGAGCTCATGAGAGGGGGGAGGGTCAGAGGGAGAAGCAGGCTCCCCGCCGAGCAGGGAGCCCAATGCGGGACTCGATCCCGGGACTCCAGGATCATGACCTGAGCCGAAGGCAGTCGCTTAACCGACTGAGCCACCCAGGCGCCCCCAGGACACACTCTTCTTGATTCTTCTACCGCGGAACCATGTTGAACTTAGTGAATCACTGGATAGTAAGTGTTCTTCACCAAGTTGTGTTAACAGTTCCAAGACGTGTTCTTGTTTCTGTGCTAAAAGGGGTTCCAGCTGTGCACAGCCCGGAGCCCTCTCTCTAATGCCAGGGGAGGGGGGTCCCTCCTTTCCCACCGAAGGGCTGTCCCCTCACCCCCACCCCCTTCCTGCAGGTAAAACTACTCTTTTTTTTTAAACAGGTAAACCTACTCTTGCCTGGCTTGGATCTGCTGACACACCTCTTCAGTGCCCTGAAATAAGACCCTAGGCCAGCACTGGAAGCCTCGGACAGGCTCCGCTCCTCACAACGGCCCCGTGAGTAGTGTCAGGAGAAGGACAGCGGAAGGCCACAGCACACTGCTGACGAAAACCTCACGTCACCCCAATCCGTTAGCTTTGCTGGTGGCAGCTTAGGAAAAAAACGCCGTCGACCCCAGATGGAGGCAACGTGATATCTTTGAGGAGAAAGCCGGGAGGAAGAGGGCCAGTCTCTCCCCCACTTTACCTGCCATTTGCCTAAAGAAGTCACAGCGGTTAGAGAAGAGAAAAAATAAATAAATAAATAAAAATGAAAAGCAACTCCCTAGCAGGAGAGAAACAAGCGCAGAGCAGATGCTAGGAGAAAGCCCAGCCATGCCCTCACGGCCACGGGGCCGGGACGAGTCAGAGGCAGGGCCGGAAGGCGCCAAGGGACATCCCCGGCTACCCAGAACCGTGCCCTTCCGACAGCTGGGCTGCCTCGGGCCCTGTTCTCGCTCACAGTGAGCTTTCAGTGCCCCAGGTGAGCCCCTCTGCCGGCAGCTCACAGAACCATCTCGGCATGTGCAGGCTGTGCCAGGCCTGCCTGTTCTCCCCAGGAGGGTTCTGTTGGAGGAGTCCCCAGGGTGACCGCCTCAAGCCCGAAGTGATGGAGGGCCCTGGCAATGACGGGGCCAATCCTGTTTCCAACAGACACCACGAGAAGTTTATTTATTTCTGAATATCGAGCACTGCGGACCTCGACTAGATCTCCTTCAGCAAATCAGACTGGGTGGCCACCAGCACGCAGTGTGATGGCACCAGGGAAGTGGCCGAGGGGAGGGAGACGAGAAGGCCCCTTGGTGATCTAGCACAGCAGCTCTTACAAATCAGGTGCTACAAAATGAAGGGACTGTCCGAAGTCACACACAATTTGGTACAGAGAAGGGGAGGAATCTACAGATAATTAAATACATGTATGCTCACTTTGTTCTCAGTTGCGGCCACAATTCAGGCCTTGAGATCGCCTCTTCGTGTGTTAGCTGTTTAATTTAACCATAGTCTTCCACAAAATCATAGGGTCGCATACTCAACCTGCTGAAATTTCAGAAAATGTCCTACAAGTTCCTAGTAAGAGCAAAGTTACCCTATGCGAGCAAATGTAAACCTCACATTTAAATGTCAGGAATGGCTACTAACCCACGAGTTTTCCCAAAAGAAAATCACTAACCTAAAAATAGCTGGAGATTGAGTCACAGTTAAGCACGCACATTTAACTGAGCACTTTTACAGGCCCTGACTCAGACACAGAAAGGAGGCTGGCCTCTGCCCTTAGCGAGCAGCCCTGCTGGAACAGTGCTGGGCTTCCCACTGGACACAAAGGGGTAAATAAAGCACTTAGGAAAATCACCAGCAAAATTGTTTTCTCTACCACAGAGAAACCATTCAATCCTTACCTGAGAACAAGCAAAAAAATCGTAAGCCGGGTGTTTCCTTTATGGAGAGCCTAGAATTTTCTAAAAGGACAGGCACTTTAATGAAGATATTGGATCACTGTACACATTGTGTTAAAACGCCTATAGGGTAGGGCGCCTGGGTGGCTCGGTGGGTTAAGCGTCTGACTCTAGATGTCAGCTCAGGTCTTGATCTCAGGGTCATGAGTTAAAAAACAAAACAAAACAAAAAACTTACACTGTAAGTAATTTCTGTAATATCAAAAGCAAATCTCAGTTTGCCAGAACCCAAGAAACCTAAGTGCCCAGTTTCCTGGAATTTTTAAGAGAAGGGTACAATCGAAGAGAAGAGCCTCTCCAGATTTACTGCACAAAAGAAATTTCCTGAGCATGTCCTGGGAACAGTACGGCTCCCGCCCAGTCTTCTAGGTCTGCAAACAAACTACCAGGAGACTGGAGGAAATGGCGGGAGGGCAAGACCCTAGTTCGTGCCTGGCACAGCCCTTGACACTGAAGAGGAAGTTTCACCCAGAGCTAAAACAGGACACTTACAAGCTACCCTCAGAGAGAAAATAAAAGTAACTGGGAATCCCCATTTCTGAGCACTCTGGTTTCCCAAGACCCCCGGGGCCAAAGCAGAGCATGGCTACGTGGCTAAGACACAGAGGGCACACCCCACAATGAAAGCATCACACATGCAGCCCACGGTACCTCTGGCGTTGGCCCTTCATCACGCAGTGTCAAGAAGCAGACGTGTGAGAAGACCTGACCAGCAGGTCAAGCCCTCTGCCCCTCCCCAAGGGAGAAAGACTTTGCCCGCTGGGTTAGCTCGCCAGCCCTCCAGCTCCTCTGGGATCTGGGGTTCTCTGATGATGAATTCTGTCAGTTGTGGGGGCAAGAGCTCCTCTCGGGGCTCAGCCACCAGACCCTTCAACCCAGGCCTAGAAAGCAGGAAAGGTTCTGGGCTCTTTGCCCTTCCAAGACCAAGAAGGTTCTGGAAGCAAGGGTACACAATGTGCATGGCATTTTAAGGCATGCTTTACTTATTTCTGTCTTATAAGTACCTCGGACACTGTGAGTAGAAACAGGACCTCATGCCAGCTTAGGGCAGCAGGCTTAAAGGTCACATGGATTCCACGTGACAAATGCCCAGGTCTTAGAAGATAAACTCCACTGGTTAAATGCTAATATGAAGGACGGACTCACACTCAGGCCCGTGGGCTAAAAATGGAAGAAAGGATATTGTGAGATAATCACCACCTGGGGGTACTAAACAAGCCAGCCCCAACCTCCATGGAGGCCCTACCTAGCGTCTGCCATCAGTCCTGCTCTTTCTGGGCACTCAACGGAGCCTCGTCCCCAGCCTCTAGGTCACCACCACCATTCTGGCTGTGAGAAGAGGGAAGGGATCCCATTTGTGTCTCCACACCAGTGGCTTCCAGGGGCATCTGGAGTTATTCTCTCCTCTAAACATGCTGTGCTGTGCAACTCTGGGCAGATCACTTGCCCTCTCTGGGGATTTTGGAGTTTACCCTAGGAGCCCATGTGCTATAATCAAACAACAGATTTTAGAATCGGAGGACCTGGGTTTGAGTTCAGATTCTGCCAAATGACTTTGGGCAACCCTGGGTGAATTATCTAAGTTTTATGAAAGTTTGCTTTTTCTTCTATGAAATAGGAGGGGGGTGGGGGTTTACAAACATTACAGGTTATTAAGGGGAAGTAATTAATGAAATTATGTAGGTTAAAAAAAAAGCTTTATGGTTATGAAATACCCACAGATATACTCAAGATAAAGTTTGTAAAATGCCTTGAGCTTTTTAGAGGAAAGCTGCCTTATTAAATATTTCAAGATGATAAAAATGTTAGTTTTAAAGCAATAGCTAAGGACTTTAAACACAGGACTTTAAACACTTTCCCAGGCTGTCCTGAGTTTGGCTTTATCAGATCCTTCACTGATGACACTGAAATAGCTAGAAAAATAAAAATTCAAAAGCTCTAAGACAGAAAGGGTTGATATATCTTGAGGTCTCTGCTAAATAGATTGCTTTTTGAAGTAAACAGACAGAAGTGGGTTCACACCCTCAAGTGTTCTGTCTCCTCACTCATCCAACACAAACATCTCACTGTTGTTCCAGGCCTCTCCCAGTCTTGCCTCCTCCTTGGGAAGCAAGCTTTCTCAGCCTTTTTTAAGGCCCAAGGGCAAGTCCCAACTGCTACCCCTTATCCCAGCGGTCTCCCCCTCTGGTTTTTGTCTGTATCAGCCTGTATTTTACCTGTTTCAGCCATGCATCTGCTTGCAGTCCACCTCAGTCTACCTCCACCCAATGCCACAG